AGAACTGAAGTTACACCATATTTGCTTTTTAACTTAGATAAGGATTACTAATCTGAAGCAAAACTTTATCATCCCCACTTACCATACTTCAGTTTGCATGACAAAGCAGTTTTGGATAACACAAAGATTTGTTTTGGTTGAAACTAAAACTGAAAAAGGTGTTCTAGCAGTGTATCTCACATACTGTAACTGCTAAAGTACGTTCAGCCAACAGGACCAGAAAGGACTTCACAGTAATCTCTCTCCCTTCCAAAAAACACACAGTATGGATATGAAACATATAGCATCAACTCTCAGTATATTCCTTCTTATTGTGCTCTGCTTCTTGATAACGTAGCCTAAGTTACAGCTTTGAGTAAGTAGGAGTGGCCAATAAGTAATTTTAATTCTCTTGATATGAACATACAACCTTATTACTAGCACAAAATTTACAAAGCATTTGGATACTTCTAAAAAAAAGGGTTCTTGAAAGTTCGCAATGTCAAAAAGTTAACCTATATTGCAGGCCTGGTGGACGTCTACAAAAGCTTACAAGCTATCAGTCTCCTTAGTGATCTTAGATGCTTATTATTATTACCTAAATGTTCTCAATCAAATACTTTGCTCATGCATTTTAGAAATTATCTTAACGTTGTCCAGCCACTGTAAAATCAGGCTGTGTTCAAAGACTCTCCTTACCCAAGAGTTACATTGCCTCCCTGACTCATGCTATCAGAGACATACTACTTACACGCAAGCCGAAGTAGAGTAGGAAGAACACATTGAAAGCCATGTCGATCTGTAATGTGAAATCTTTGTAGAAATTCTGGCAGGATTCTATTGGGCTATTTGAAAGAAAAAAAAAAAAAAATCGGAGTAAATTGTCAGTATACGAGTTTCTACTCTGGTGAGGTTTTTATGCCTTTCATTAAAGACCTTGATTCAGAAATCACATATCTGTTTTCCAGTCATTTACAAGATACAAGCAAGCATTTCAAATTAATTATTTCATTCATTCAGTTAGTCATTCATACAGTCTTTATATTCACCTGTTCAGATAATATCTGAGAATTAACATGCAGATACCTTTAAGAAAGGACAAGCAGGAGAGTCTCTCAGGATTCCTTAACCCCACATTAACCCTTAAAGAACTGACTTCTTTCTATAAGAGACATACCTATGATACTTTAGGAACAAACCTAACAAGGACACAGCTACAGTGAAATATTACGTCTTTTTAATTGATGTCAAAATAAAAAACCTTAAAAAAAAAAAAAGTAGTTGCTTAGGAATACATTACCCATTAGCAACCTGGAGTACTTAGTCTTGTAGAATCCCTTGTTTATAAGTAGTTAGTTTTGCCTTTTTTTTTTTTTTTCCTTTTTCTCACTTCTTTTTTTGTGTATGGCTATTTAATGTACTTTATGTACAGTACTATGAGCTGAGTAGAAAAGCAGCATAGCCCACTGGTAAAATTAAATAACAAAATAAATTGAGGAATTTGAAGCAGTACTCTAAGGGTTAATTTCTGCATGCAGGTTAATTAAAATACCTTTGTGTGTGTCAAGCAGCCATTGCAAATTCTAGCTTATTATATTATGCTTTATTTAAACAGTGGGACAGGTCCAAAGCTTACTCTATACAAACTGGTACTTTTAGATGTACTTTTATCTAAGAACGGAGATAACTGCTACAAATATGATTAGTGATTTATTTGTGAGATTTCCAAACGAGGTTGGTGAAGCCACGGAACAATGTTGAAGTCACAGACCAAGATGAAAGTCATGTCCCAATATATGTTGATGTATATACACTATATATACCTAATGTCCCACCATATATACATGTATATACACGCATATATTGCTAATGATCATGTATTCATCACAACTGTAATAAAGCGGAAAACTACAATGTAGATCATTTGGAACCCTAGAAAACATCCTTTAAGGAAAGAAGAAATTATTTGGCTTCCCATGTCAAATAAATCACTGAATGTGAATGTAATACCAGTTAGTATAGCGGTAGCTCGGCAAATATAATGCTAGACTGCTCAACAAGCAAGATTCTAGGCGTTATGAATGTCAGTTACCTAATTTAAGGCATAAAGGAAATTACCTGGGCTACCAGGTCATTACACATGCAGCCAAATTTTCCATTCCTTGTATACATTACAGGTCAAACAAGTTAAATACAGCATGCCCTCTCCTGTCTTTAGATGCATGAATGTATACAGCAAAATTCTCCTTGATGTACAACAGCTTTATATTTTAGAAGCTTCACTGTTATAGGAAATTATTTTAAAATATTTTTTTTAAAAAAACTATTTGCAAAGACATTGAAGTTACGAAGCATTTCTATTGTATTTCAAATAAAATTGATTTACAAAAGCAGGCAGCAGAAGGAAAGAGAAGCCAAATGCATATAGGACAGAAGACAGCACCATATACTTTACAAACACAGCTTTAGCGACAAAAAGAGTGGATGTAATCTGAGAACCCAACAGGATCATTTTCTGTATGGCATTATTGAGAGCGAAGGATTTGTCAAAATAAGGTAGGCTACACACTGAGTCACTCTGCACCCTATCAACAGAAATCAAGGAAGTACTGCAGAAGCAGAATGAACAACCCTGCATCAACACAGAGGCCTGGACCCTTAATTCCAGGTTAGGTTTCTGTAAAAGCTGCAGAAATTCACTGAAGCTAATGGAATTGCACAGGTTTATAACGAGGATAGAGAGCTTCATTATCTTCCTTTCCACAGTTATTTGGTACTTGTCATGACTGTTAGATAAGGTCAGCTAAGGTCACAGCTAACAGTGGTATTTTTGTACCACTGTGCTTTACAAAACCTACAAGATCTGACAAATTAGCTAATGCATAATACATCTTCATCTTGTTTGCAAAACACTTAGCACAGGGGACCACAATCCTGATTTGGGACTTTTGTTTACTTAATACCAAAGGTACTTTTTTCTGCTAGTCATATCCCTGAAACATCCTTCATTTCAGAGATCATCTCTCAGTTTCTAAGTTATCAATCTCAAAGACAAACACAACGTCCTTTCCTTTTTATTTTAAACGATGATTTTGTTGGAAAGGCATGTCACTAAGGCTAAGGGAGTTTTTATTTATACTCACAGGATAGATTATACAAGATCTTAAATTTTCCAAATTAAATTTTGGTAATATTCTTCAGTTTGGATTTTTTGTTTTCATCTGTAGCTCACATTTGAGCTAAGAGAAGAATACGGCCACTAATCTTTATCATTGCACGATTCAGCCGGATGCAGAAAGGAAGCCATGTTGACGTGCCTCTTTGCATCAAGTTTCCAAAAATCAGAAGTGCTGTATTTCTCAGAGATCCAGACAGTAGTGTGCTGGGGTGGTCCAGGACTAATAATATGTTCCCTGTTTCAAACTAAAATCAGATGGCTTGTCCTATGGGATTTCACCTCATTAGAACAGCAAATGTTTCACCTTTGAAGGAAGCAACAGACTTTTCTGTGTAAGCATGGTCCATTGCAAGTGTGGTTTCATGCATTTATACTGCTAAAGACCAGGAGAAACCATACTTAAAATCAATGTAGTAACATTATATTAGCAATGAAAGGAACGATTTAAGGTAAACGGATAAAAATCACATAATTGTGTAACTCTAAATGCAATATTTATGTGCACTTTGAAAGAGCATCTTTAATTTGCTACACAAAATTGAAAAAAATCCACTGTAGCCATGACTTCTTGTGTTTTGAAAAGAAAAACTCATAGCACCGATTTTATTTTACTTAACCATAGGGATATCCTGCTGATAATCTATCAAGGACTAAAATTCCCCTTTGCCCTGCCATCTTTTTATGTAATAAACTAAATGCTACAAGCGATGTCTGAGCTACACAAGCAAGATTTGAGAGACTGACAGTTTTCTTCAGGTCAACACTTATATCAAGCTATCATTTGCTGCAACTGTGTACTCTGTGCTACAATTTAATATAAAAATCACATCTAGAGAAACAACAGTGGGCTTAGTATGCCTAATCGTAGTAAAGCCAGAACCTTATTTGATTTTTTTCAGGCATGGACTACACTGTTAATTCTCTTCCTTCCTCTCCTGCTCTTTAAGCACTGCTATTCATTTCAGTTTCACGTTACCTCTATTTACTTCTTCTGTTTATCATTACAGCACCTTTATAGCAATGCTAGTAGTTATAAAGCCCAGTTATACAGGTATCATAGGCATAAACTAGTTTAGTAAGCAGGAGTGACTACAAGACAAGTAACAAAATTATTCCAGTTTAACTTTACACAGATGGGGCAAAATTTTGACAAAGTGTTCCCAGCATCCTTAAACCTTTTTCACAATTGACACTGAAGCCAACATTTTACATGACACTTTTACCACAACTGTACAAGTGAACAAACCTCTGCCACTTCAATTCAAAAAAATTTACTGCTGTTTAAAAAACCACCTTTTTCACAAGTGTCCTGGTTTCAGCTGGGAAAGAGTCTTTCTAGTGATTGCTGTGAAAGTTATGTAAATGATGCATATTGTTTTTGTTGTTGCTAGGAGATGTTTATACTTTCCAAGGACTCTTTTCCACTTCCCATAGAAGCTCAGAAGGAGCACAGATAGAACAATCGGATGGCTAATGGGTGAAAAACCACGATCACTGCTCAGGAAGGTACCAATTCACCAGGTAGTGAGAGTGACTTTTGTCATTATTGTCTTTATCTCAAGCCACAATTCTTTTTCTTCCTTTCTCTTCCCCCTCTCCTTTTCTCTCTCTCCTCCCTACCTTCTCAGGGAGAAGGGGGGGAACTGCACTAGCGGTTGCATGGTCCTAGCTGCTGGCTGGGTTAAAACACAAGTTTATTTCATTTATTTCTTATTCTCACTTATTTCTGGTTCATTTGAAATACTTCTAATGTATTTGAAACGGTTCTACTGGGATTATTCTTTGAATAGTCATAGAACGAGTGGGAGAGGGCAAAAATTAGTATGTATTCTGAAATCCTTTGTTTCTGTGAGTATATTAATATGAAACTTCCCACAGAAGAAGCATTCATAGAATATTTCCAGGATTTGCAGTTGCAACAGAGTTGAAAATATCTTGAGTGTTTTTTCCTGTATCATTTCATCTCTTGATAGGAGCTGTAAAGCCCATTTCCAACTTCAGATCAAAGCCTTGGCACGATATATCAGTCTATGTCACAGTGCAATCACTGTCATTATGACCGCACAGAAGCAAGGGGAAGAAATTCTGTGTTCATTCAGACTGTAGGCCAGCTTTGCAATCGCAGTGACATCTATCTGCCTGATTTTATATAAAATGTTCCCCACAGTAATGGGAAAGGTTGTGCACACCCAATTCGGTACTTGAAATAACTATCCAACATGCAATTTACAGTTCTCTATTCTTTCTGTGTGAGGAAGTGGACTCCTGCATTTTAGGCACATGTCATGTCAAGTCCACTCCTCATGTTTTTCACCTTCTTTTTTTTTTCTTCCTTTTTAATGACAAGGCGTACAAAGACTAAGAGGGATGCCAATTTTTATCTATGCATAATAATAATCAAAAATGCTAAAGGGTAATCTCAAAACATGTTAATCTAGTAAGATTTTGCCGAGAGTTTTGAAGATAAGTTCTAGGTAAAACATCCATAAACCACCGCAAAAGAAGATTACTTCTATTGTAACTTCAGGAAAGTACTGATATTAATATTGCACCACAGCTGCTACATCTTTGGAACTTTAAGAAGTTATTGAAACTTTTAAAAATTCAGAAAATTATCCTAATTTACAATTTTAATTTTTGGAACCAAATTTGTCTTCTGAATGGTGG